TATACTTGCCTCGAAGACCGCTGCTCCTCATCATCCTCAATGATCAGCAGTGTAGTAGGAAGCTTCTGCTGCTGCTGCTGCTTCCACTCCTTGTAGTACAAGGATTCAAGGAACTTCACATCCTTTGACACAGTCAGCTGCTGGCTGGTCAAGTCCCATATCAACCAGCCCTTGTGATCCTTAGCAAGCCCTAAGTGTACTCCCCATCTCCCAGAAGCCTCCAACTTTCCCCTCTTCTCCTTAGGCACATGAAACACCACCATGTAGTTGTAGGCTCTTAGCATGTTGACTGCTGATGCACTCCCATACCACTTGGTGTAGGGGACCCACTCCTTGTCCCCCACAATCGCCAACACCCTGTTCTTCACAAGGGCGACTTAGCGCAGTGCAGTCACCCAAAATGGATCCGGCAGCCCTTCACGCCCAAGGAGAGTGCGAGCACCTTCCTGCAGGGTCCGGTTGAAGCGCTCAGCCACGCCGTTCTGCTGAGGGTTGTAGGGAACCGTGAGCTGATGCTGGATCCCCTTCTTCTTCAGCACTGCCTCAAAATCAGCGCCAATGAATTCTCCCCCATTATCAGTGCGGATCACCTACACCTTGTATCCGCTCTCCCTTTGAGCTCTCGGCATCCTCTCCTTAAGAACAGCCGCTGCCACTTCCCCCTTAGTCTTGAGAGGGTACACCCACACCGCACGTGTGTGGTCATCCACAATGGTTAAGAAGTAGCGGCTGCCCGAGAGAGAAGGGGCCCTAGTAGGGCCCACCACATCCATGTGCACAAGCGCGAGCGGGGCCTTGGCTGGTCCTGTACTGCTGCTGAAGGGAAACTTGGTGAATTTAGTTTCAAGGCATGTAGGGCAGCTCCCAATCTCCTTCGCTGCCCCCTTCACCTCCAACCCCTTCAAGCTCCCATCCTTCACTAACTTCAGCAGCATATGACAATTCACATGACATAGCCTCTCATGCCACGTCTCCCAATCAGCCTCACCACTCCCAGATGAAGTCTTTGCCCATGCAGCTGTCGCATCCACACCAGCAAGCAGCGCCCTGCAGCCCTGCGCGCCCTGCGCCCCCTGCTGTCCTGCTGCCCTGCGCGCCCTGCGCGCACTGCAGCCCTGCGCGCCCCGCGCGCCCTGCTGCCCTGCAGCCCTGTGCGCCCTGCTGCCCTGCAGCCCTGTGCGCCCTGCTGCCCTGTTTGCCCCGCGCGCCCTGCTGCCCTGCAGCCCTGTGCGCCCCGCGCGCCCTGCAGCCCTGTGCGCCCCGCGCGCCCTGCTGCCCTGCTGCCCTGTGCGCCCTGCTGCCCTGTGCGCCCCGTGCGCCCTGCTGCCCTCTGCACGTGCCATGCACAGCCCCCCCCCCCGCCCCCCCCCTTCTCCTCCATCCCCTGCTGCAGGTGCAGCAGTGGTGGGAGGGTATGGGGGTGGCGGGTGTGTGAACCGTCCCCTGCTCCTCCTCCTCCTCCGTCTCCCACTGCTGCAGCTGCCGCTGAGGGGGGTGGGTGTGTGGGAGCCGAGGGAGTGGTGCTAGGGGGGTGCAGTGGGAGTGGAGCTAGGGGTGCAGCAAGGGGTGTGTGAAAGGGGGGTGGGACAGTTGGGGGAGGTTGAGCGGAGACTGCCGTCTTGTCGACCGCAGCACCTGTAGTCCGGGGCTCTGCTTCTGGTAGCTCAGAGAGCCTGCTGCGCCTGTCGCCCGTGGGTCCGTTGCTCCTGCCGCTCAGAGTTAGCCGCAGAGCCAGTTACTCCTGTAGTACGGGGCCCTTGCTCCAGTAGCCACCGTGCGCGCCGCCCCTGTTGCCCGTGTGTCTGCAGCATCAGCCGTCGCCTCCTATCTCCTCTCCTCTCACAGTCCAGCCTCCTCCTCCTCACTTGCCCTTTGTGAATGCCTCTAGCTTTGCTTGTACTGGTGAACCTGCTTTATGACTGCTTGCTCTGCTGATTATACCCCACTTTGACTATGGGGGTGTGTCAGAATGTATTTGCTGTCTAGCCTGCAGTGGGGTACTCTGTAGTGAGTACAACCCAATTTAGGGTTTGCTATTTGTATCCCAACTTTCTATAGTGAAATCATTCCTCAGCATTTTCTCTCGATACTCAACTCTCTCGACACTCAATGCTTATCTCCCTCCCTCTCTCTCTCGACACATTCTCTCGCTACTATTCTAACAGGATTTCCATAGTTTCAAAAAAAAAATCCTAAGGCCACAGTGTAACAATTTTCAGAACCCTGATGAAGTGTTTCTACTGAAGTTCTGAAAAAAAAGCCGGCACCAGGATTTTGAACCCACATCTCCATCCTTCCGAAGACCAATCTACTGACCGTGCAACTTCAACGTAAGTATTCGAATAACATAATCTCCTACTTCATATTTCTAATTAGGGGGACAGAAGTGCAGGGGCAAGTTGGGGGGGGGGGGGGGGGGGAGGGGTGTGGTATTCGCTTCAGGGTAAAACTCGCTAAGAAGAACGGTAACCCTGGGGCGATAGTGTGCCTTAAACGTAAACCCTGAAATATCAGGAAAATCTAAGCTCCATAAAAATTTACCTTACGGCATCAGTGTGACTACCAAAAACCACCATGATTACCGTATGGCCCCGGATATAGGCGCCGTCCGATTAAAGGCGCCGGCGCTTCTATCTAGAGCATGGCGCTTATGGCCGGAATTCGATTATAAGCGCCCCCCCCTGTAATGTCAAACTTATATATGCTATAGTCTGTTTAGGCTGTAGTGGGGTAGTCCTTAGAGGGTACAACACTTTTGTGTTTGCTACTTGTACCCAACTGCTTGCTAGTTCATTCATTCGTTCTCATTCTAACATGTAAAACACTGACATATTATAAGCGCATGCAAATTTAAGATTTCAATGTTGATTAAAACGGTAACGATTTTCAAATTTCTATTGAGTCAACACCCCCATTTTCACTTTGTTTTACTTTCGAGGACCTACTGGTTGCGCGTCCAGTCAGTATGAGTTGGCACGCTGGCAAAATGACGTGCCAAAGCTCTGTGCACCGTCAGAAAATCGCCCTTGCGCGATTATGATTCTGGATCCTGTAAAATTTCGATTCGATTCAACTTACGAGACTGAAATGTACAATTTGGTGCGTTTAAGTTATATTTCTGTATTTGTCGTTATATAAGCGCCGGCGCTTATGGCCGATATTCAATTACAAGCGCCCCCCTAAAAAAAACTGATTTTATTATAAGCGCATATGTATCAGTGCCCTAGATATCAGACTTTGGAGTCTGAATCAGAGTCTGTTCAGACTTTTTTTTTGTACCTAGTCTGAACTCAAAGAATTTATTTTTGTACCTTGTCTGATTTTCCAGAGTTTTTTCTTATGAGTTGTCTGAAATTTCAGCCTAATTTTACTAGGGTAGGCTGAGCCTCAGACTTGTATCGGGGGTACACTCTGCGCTCTTATCGGAGAAAAGTTTCCTGGAAGTTTCCTTCCGATATGCCCACTTCCGAGATGGCAGTGGAGTGCCAGGACGTGAGCAACGCTCACTTCGACAGCTGGGACATCCAAATACACTCGTTCGTCGAGAATATCTTCCAGTTACGCTGAGGAAATGGTTGCGTGATTACGAGATTTCTGAAGACAAAATCTCGTCACATGTAAGTTATCGCTAATGTATTGTAAAGAATAGGCGACTTTGATGCTGATTCGCTGTAAAAACATCTGCAGCACGCACTGATGTGAATTGCGAAGTTCCTGATTCGTACTGAAAGTTTCGTGTGGCACTGTCTGATCCTCACATGCCACGCCAAGCAACAGTTTCTGCCTGCTGCCAGCTCAGCTGCGTGGCACTTGGCCCACCTGATACAGATCGGGTGAACGATCGAATCGCTTGAAAAGCAAATACAAAACTGACAAAATCGGCACACATGCGAGAAAATGGGTACAGAACGGTAATCACACACACGACAAAACGAAATGAGATCAGCAGAGCAGAAACAACCATGCGCTGCACGTGACAAAAACACTGGAACGCCGCCGACATGAGCAGAGGCGATGCACGAGCACGAGCACGTTGCCTGATGCGTTGGTATGGTAGGCTGTAATCAGCCTCAATGCTATTATAACTGCTTTTACGAAACTGCATGAACATCTTAAAATTTGAAGTAACTCTGACAGTTCAGACAAAAAAAATTGTGCTTGTCTGAATTTTCAGACTAAAATTTTGAGGCACCTCTGACAGACAGAGTTCCAGGAGGGGTGTACTCTGAGGCCTCAGACTACCTCAAAACGAATCTAGGGGCCTGATATGTATGCGCTACTATCCGGGGTAATACGGTATCAATGTATCAAGGTGATTTACACTGATAAAATTAGCCCTGGACACGACTGGTGGTTGGCGAAATCTTTCCTATAGAGTTCCAGGCTTTGTCTCCGTCACCAGCCAACCTCTCTACTTCTCGCCCATAGCGAAACACTTTCCCTAATTTTCTTTGCTAGAATTTACGGATAATGCCCTACTAGAGTTTGTTAACCAAAACAATATTTAGTACGAAAACATAACGCCACAGTTACAGTAGATAGGTAGGAAGAACAACATTTTTCGCTTAGCTACGAGAATAACCTAGAAAGACGATTGCATAAGCTACGGTATCGTTCTATAATACCCGTTGTACCACACTGTTTGAGAAAAAAAATACCATGACAGAATCATTACACCCCTGCACAAGGACCACTGAATTGATTCGTTCTTCCTGCCATTGACAGACTTTTTGTCAGAGATCCACTGGTGATCCCCGATTGATCCCAAAGAAGGGTTACAGGCTCGTTGTCCTGGGGGGTTATGGGCACACTGACCCGCTACTTAACAAGCTCTTTTATCCCAATGGTCTAGTGGTTGGGATTCTGACACTTTTAAGAGGCTACACCACGCATCTTATTCCTGCAGGAAAGCGCTGCCCTGCCCAGTCGCCTATTCTACTAGTACCTCAGTACAAGTCTTGGTTGGACCAGAAGCCGCAACTTCTCTCAGCAGGATCATCTCATGTCAGCTTTCCTGTTGCTGCTCTCATCGAAGGACTTAGCCTTGTCTGATGAGTCGACTCAAGCATCATCTGCAGGCTACTCTCAACCGTGGCCACAATCCTGTCGAATATCCGCGCCAGCGCAGCCGCACCCAGTGACAGCCCCTCCACCTTCCGCACGTCCCCATTCGCTGCTCCACCATCCCCGCCAACACCAGCAGCAGCAGCAGCAACACCGATACCACCGGCAGTTGCAGCAGCGTCGTCGCCATGGTCAGGAGCAGCGGAGCGGCCCTCCTCGGCAGCGCGGCCCAGCGAGGGGTCAAAGGGCACGCGGCCCAGGAAGGGCACTCCCATGCCTGCTGCCATGGCCTCGCCCCCTCCTGTGCTGCCCACATGGAACATGTCCGCCTGCACACTCAGTGTGCCGGGGAAGAGCTGGACGGAGGGAGGAAGTTGAAGAGAGAGGAGAGTGGAGAGCAGTAGGCAGGAGGAAGAGGGGGAGCGAGGGAAGAAGGAAGAGGAAAGAGGGTTTTGGGTCTACAGAGGACACTGGGAATTCCGGGAAACTGGGAGTTTGGGAGGAGGTGTAGATAACAACATCATTGGATAACAGTGTGAGCGGGTAACAGCATGAGTGGACTTTACGAGGGCCCTCCATCTCCCTGGATATCTCCACTCCCCGCCCTCCCTTCCCCCCCCAACCCACTAGCGGTGACGTGCATGTGACGTGCGTTTGAGCTGCTGCTTGTGTCTTTGCATTAAGCTCAGCTCCGCTCAGCATACCGCTTTCAGTGCCTCCATCACTCGGGCCGTCACATCCTCGCCCTCCCCCTCCCCTGCTGGATCGCTCGTGTTGCTGGCGATGCTCGCATGCGTGTCGGAGGCTCCTTCTGTCGCCATGCTGGCAGCTGACGTGGTAGCTGATGTGGCGGTGTGAGTGGGGTGGTGGGAGAAGCGCACAGCAGAGAGAGGCACCTGCAGGACGAAACGGAAGGGAGGGAGGCAGGTGGGGCAGGAGAAAGCAAGAAAGGAATGGCAGCACAGGGGCGTGCAGAGGAGGGTAAAGCAAGGATGGAGCAGGGATGGAGCAGGGATGGAGCAGGGATGGAGCAAGGATGGAGCAGGGATGGAGCAGGGATGGAGCAGGGATGGAGCAAGGATGGAGCAGGGATGGAGCAGGGATGGAGCAGGGATGGAGCAGGGATGGAGCAGGGATGGAGCAGGGATGGAGCAGGGATGGAGCAGGGATGGAGCAGGGATGGAGCAGGGATGGAGCAGGGATGGAGCAGGGATGGAGCAGGGATGGAGCAGGGATGGAGCAGGGATGGAGCAGGGATGGAGCAGGGATGGAGCAGGGATGGAGCAGGGATGGAGCAGGGATGGAGCCGGGATGGAGCAGGGATGGAGCAGGGATGGAGCAGGGATGGAGCAGGGATGGAGCAGGGATGGAGCAGGGATGGAGCAGGGATGGAGCAGGGATGGAGCAGGGATGGAGCAGGGATGGAGCAGGGATGGAGCAGGGATGGAGCAGGGATGGAGCAGGATGGAGCAGGGATGGAGCAGGGATGGAGCAGGGATGGAGCAGGGATGGAGCAGGGATGGAGCAGGGATGGAGCAGGGATGGAGCAGGGATGGAGCAGGGATGGAGCAGGGATGGAGCAGGGATGGAGCAGGGATGGAGCAGGGATGGAGCAGGGATGGAGCAGGGATGGAGCAGGGATGGAGCAGGGATGGAGCAGGGATGGAGCAGGGATGGAGCCGGGATGGAGCCGGGATGGAGCAGGGATGGAGCAGGGATGGAGCAGGGATGGAGCAGGGATGGAGCAGGATGGAGCAGGGATGGAGCAGGGATGGAGCAGGGATGGAGCAGGGATGGAGCAGGGATGGAGCAGGGATGGAGCAGGGATGGAGCAAGGGATGGAGCAGGATGGAGCAGGGATGGAGCAGGGATGGATCAGGGATGAGCAGGATGGAGCAGGGATGGAGCAGGGATGGAGCAGGGATGGAGCAGGGATTGGAGCAGGGATGGGAGCAGGGATGGAGCAGGGATGGAGCAGGGATGAGCAGGGATGGAGCAGGGATGGAGCAGGGATGGAGCAGGGATGGAGCAGGGATGGAGCAGGGATGGAGCAGGGATGGAGCAGGGATGGAGCAGGGATGGAGCAGGGATGGAGCAGGGATGGAGCAGGGATGGAGCAGGGATGGAGCAGGGATGGAGCAGGGATGGAGCAGGGATGGAGCAGGGATGGAGCAGGAATGGAGCAGGGATGGAGCAAGGGATGGAGGCAGGATTGGAGCAGGGGATGGAGGCAGCGGATGGAGCAGGGATGGAGCAGGGATGGAAGCAGGGATGGAGGCAGGGATGGCAGTCAGGGATGGAGCAGGGATGGAGCAGGGATGGAGCAGGGATGGAGCAGGGATGGAGCAGGGATGGAGCAGGGATGGAGCAGGGATGGAGCAGGGATGGAGCAGGGATGGAGCAGGGATGGAGCAGGGATGGAGCAGGGATGGAGCAGGGATGGAGCAGGGATGGAGCAGGGATGGAGCAGGGATGGAGCAGGGATGGAGCAGGGATGGAGCAGGGATGGAGCAGGGATGGAGCAGGGATGGAAGCAGGGATGGAGCAGGGATGGAGCATGGGATGGAAGCAGGGATGGAGCAGGGATGGAGCAGGGATGGAGCAGGGATGGAGCAGGGATGGAGCAGGGAATGGAGCAGGGATGGAGCAGGGATGGAGCAGGGATGGAGCAGGGATGGGTGAGCAGGGATGGAGCAGGGATGGAGCAGGGATGGTAGCAGGGATGGAGCAGGGAGGGAGCAGGGATGGAGCAGGATGGAGCAGGGATGGAGCAGGGATGGAGCAGGGATGGAGCAGGGATGGAGCAGGGATGGAGCAGGGATGGAGCAGGGATGGAGCAGGGATGGAGCAGGGATGGAGCAGGGATGGAGCAGGGGATGGAGCAAGGATGGAGCAGGGATGGAGCAGGGATGGAGCAGGGATGGAGCAGGGATGGAGCCGGTATGAGCAGGGATGGAGGCAGGGATGTAGCAGGAGGAGCAGGGAATGGAGCAGGGATGGAGCAGGGATGGAGGCAGGGATGGAGCAGGGATGGAGCAGGGATGGAGCAGGGATGGAGCAGGGATGGAGCAGGGATGGAAGGATAGGGATGGAGCAGGGATGGAGCAGGGATGGAGCAGGGATGGAGCAGGGATGGAGCAGGGATGGAGCAGGGATGGAGCAGGGATGGAGCAGGATGAGCAGGGATGGAGCAGGGATGGAGAAGGGATGGAGCAGGGATGGAGCAGGGATGGAGCAGGGATGGAGCAGGGAGGATCAATGGTTGAATCTGGACAAGTGCAACTTGGTCAAGCCAGTTCAGTTGCCCCGAAATGTTCGAATCAAATAACTTTTCGCCCAATTAAAGCGGTCGAGCCGAGTCCAACACCTCGATGTTCGATTAGATACCCAGGTGACCACGGATGCACCAATAGGAATGACTCTACAGATAGCCATTCAACGATCACCTCGCTTCAACAATGACCTCGTTCTTGGGCTAGTTCCAGCCTAACTAACACTCCAGCAGTAGTGATTAGCTACTCACTGATTTTGGTGGTGCATTTAAGTGCAACAGGCGAAAAATGGACACTCAAACCGAACATGTTCAACCTGGACACTTAACTTGTCGTCTCTAGGGATGAACAGGCAAACACCACTTAGAATAAAAAGATGTGTCGTCTCTGGGGATGAACAGTCAAACACCACTTTGGAAACAAAGATGTGTCGTCTCTAGGGATGAACAGGCAAACACCACTTTGGAGAAAAAGAAAAAGAAAAGAAAAGAAAAAGTTTGACCCCAATTGTTCGAGTTGGGTTCAACTAGCTCAACTGTTGGGGTGGAACAGGTTCGAGTTCGGCTGTTGCTCACCCCTCGATGAAGTTAAGGTAACACCGGAACAGTTGCCGTTACAATGCTTGCAGTGAGGCAATGGGTGCAGTGAGAGGAGAGCACTAATTTATATAGGGAGGCATTCAGAAGGGAGAAAAGCTGCAGGGAGAAGGGGACGTGACATCACCTGCAGGTGCGCCATGTTCTCGACGACGCCTAGCACCTTGAGGCCGACTTTGCGGCAGAAGCTCAGCTCCTTGCGCACATCCATCAGCGATACCTCCTGGGTGAGAGGAGGATGGGGATTGGGATGGGGGTGGGCAGGGATGTGAGGGCGGGTGGAGGAGTGAGTGTGATGTCCTTGCGACTCAACTGAGCTCCTTGCGACTCAACTGAGCTCCTTGCAATAAAAGGGAGCGGGTATGCAGGGAAACGAGGTAGTGGGAAGATAATGAGGTGAGGCGGAGCCAGTGAGTGCAAGTGCTTTGCCAGTGAGTGCAAGTGCTTTGCCAGTGAGTGCAAGTGCTCTGCCAGTGATCACAGACATCACTCACCACGGCACCGAGCCTCACCTGGGGGGTGGTGAGCACGATCGCTCCGTCCACGTGAGCCGCCTTGAGAAATTGGACGGCTGAGATGTGCTCGTCTGACGTGCCGGGCGGCGAGTCTACAACAAGGTAGTCCAGCTCGCCCCAGTCCACGTCCTTTAGGAACTGGCGGGCGGTGGCAGCGGCGGGTGGGTGGCAAGCGGGTCGGAAGCAGGCGGGGAGAGCGAGGAGAGGGGGAGGTGAGGGGGGGGTGAGGGAGGTGAGGGGACAGGAGCGGGAAGAAGCGAGACGGCGTAAAGGAGGGAGCAATGGCAGGGAAGGACGGAGTCTTTGACGGTGTGATACACCCGAAGCGGTGCGGTAGGGCCATGCCCAGACAGGTCAAGCGCCATGCGATAAGATCTGAAACAGGGGCTCGCACAGGCCGACCTGACCAGGCCCTGGGTCGACCTTTGATCGCGCCTGCCGTAAGCAAACCATTCCAAGGAAGATCAGCGGTGAGAGCTCGGCACGCAGTGAAGTGTTGAAAGAGGCTGTTCCTTCAAAAATCGAGAAACCACATCTTCCACTTGTTTTGACCCACAACAACACGAAGCTCGTCGCACACGAGCATGAGAGGCACTGACTGACCACCCCTCACCTGTATGATAACGCAATGACCCTAACCCCTAACCCCAAACTCCAAACTCTGAACAATACCCCCGCCTGGGGACAGTGACTGTAAACCCCAACCCGTGCACCGACCTGTTTGATGAGGCTGTTCTTGCGGGGCCCGCGCCACACAACGGCGTCATCGGGGTGGGGCAGCATGAAGGCGATGGACATGACGCCCAGGCGATCGTCCACATACACGGGCGACCACCCGCTGGCGCTCGCATGGATCTCCTCCCCCTCCACCCCCATCAGGCGCGGGATGCTGGGCCCACAGATGTCAATGTCTAGTAGGCCCACCTGAGGGGGGATTGGAGGGGGTGGGGTGGGTGGGTGTGGGGGGTGGATGGGCGGGGAGTTGTGTGGGGGGTGGATGGGCGGGGAGTTGTGTGGGGGGTGGATGGGCGGGGAGTTGTGTGGGGGGTGGATGGGCGGGGAGTTGTGTGGGGGGTGGATGGGCGGGGAGTTGTGTGGGGGAAGAAGCTGTTGGTGTGGGGCTCTGTTGGGGAGGGGAGATAGTGGGGATGGACAGAGGGTGGAGAGGGGAGGTGGTGTTGGAGTGGCAATACGGTGCAGTGTGCAGTGGGTAACCTGAACCCGCTGGCGCCCTGGTGCACCTCCTCCCCCTCCAGCCCCACCAGGCACGGCACACTCGGCCCCACCAAGCGCAGGACAGGGGGGATCCGATCCAACTCAATGATTATTCGCCTTGAAGGGCCAGTCACAAGGCGACCTACCGAAACCATTACATGCCACACGTGTTGCTCGACTCGCCTCGCTACTCGTACAAGGCAAGTCGAACCGAGGTGAGTAGCGCTTGAGGCCCCACATGCTCATGTCCAATGAGCTATCCTTTGTGCCACACCACATGCCTCGGCCAGCCCCACTGCCCCACCTGACCTGCTTGTCCTGGTGCGCCAGGTGCCATGCCAGCTGACCTGCTTGTCCTGGTGCGCCAGGTGCCATGCAAGCTGGGCGGCGAACGTGCTCTTGCCCACGCCGCCCTTCCCCGACAGCACCAGCACGATGTGCTTCACTGCCTGCAGCCGCTGCGCTATGGCTGCTAGGTCTGCGGGAGAGAGAAGAGAGGGGGGGTTGGGGTGGAGGAAAGACGGAGAGAGCGAGGGAGCAAAGGAAAGATTTGGACGCCACGTGTGTGTAAAAAGAGGAAAGGAGAGAGGGAATGAAGGAGAAATGGCGTAAAGGGAACTGCAGAGGAACAGGGCGAGCGGATGGGCTTAGATGGCCCAGAATCGAGGCGGAAAGGTGGTGTGGGCGAGGGGAGAAAGAGCACCTTGGCATGCAAGCACAGTGGCCATGACAGCAACGCATCACGACAGCACCTCATCAGAGCTCGTCCGTTGAGCCTGCCCATCCACGCTGATGCATGTGAGACAATTCACAGCTACTTCCTTAACCCGACCTAACATCCCAACAGCACACACACCCCAACAGCACACACACCCCAACAGCACTCACACCCCAACCACACACGCCCTGACACACCGTGCCCCAGCCAGGTACACCCAACCTCACAACCCAGCAGCACACACCCCAGCACTACACACCGTAACGTTCCACACGCCCCAAGAGCACACAGCGCAGCATCATATCCCCACCACACGCCACCACGCCCCACAGCACCCACCTCACCCCACCAGCGCACCTGGATCTGCCCCTTGCGCCATGGCGTACAGTTGCTGTTACTAACCCCCGAGCACAAAACACCCCGCTGTAACAAACGCCTCAACCACACCCCACCGCGTCCAACCACGCTGAACCGCGCTCCAGCATGCCCAGCAGCGCACCTGAAGGCTGAATCCGGCCCCTTGGGCAGCGTGGGGCAGATCTGTTGCGGTACCAATCCCTCCCCCCCCCCCCCCCCCCCCCCTCCCCCAGCGCCACACCCCACCCGCTGTACCACACGCCGCACCACCACAAACCCCACCACACGCCGTCGCGCCCAACTGAGTCCCACCGCGCGCAACCACCCCCAAGCAGCGCACCTGGGTCCGGCCCCTTGGGCGCCGTGGCGCAGATCTGCTGGTTGGGGCACCCCGCAGCATCACACCCCCCTATCCCACACGCCTCACCCCACCACACCCCGCTGCGCCCAACCGCACCCAACCACGCCCCCTCATCGCGCCCCACCACGGCCCAGCAGCGCACCTGGGTCCGGCCCCTTGGGCGCTGTGGCGCAGACCTGCTGGTTGGGACACCCCGCACACGCCGCTGCCTTTCCTGCCTCCTCCGCTCCCGTTCCTGGGCAGTCTGAGGAAAGGGAAGGGTGAGCGGGGGTGGGTTGGGATTGAAGGGGATGGAGAGAGTTAGACAGCCCGCGCAGGGCGCTGTCTTGTTTTCGCTCTTCCACCGCAGGTACAAGCAGAGGGAGGGAGGGGAAAGCAGCGGAGGATTACAGAAACGAACGACGGTGAGATCGAGAGGAAACGGGATACGAAAAAGGAGAGGAGCAACTTCAGTAGGTAGCAAGGCGTGCAGATTCCGTTGAGCGGAATCCGTTAGGCAATTCTTTGCGGCGCCGCGGACATCGGGCGAAAAGGTGCTTGCTCACTGGCACTGCCCTGCGTCTGCTTACACGTAGTTGCTTACTCGCGGGTTCTTACTACTCACTCCACCATCTGCTTATTCGCAGCTCCTTACTCGCAGCTCCTTACTCACGCTGATTCGCGTCCGCCGGCACGTCGCCCACCGGCTGCGCCTCTCGCGGCTGTTCCATGGCGTCTATCCTTCCGCGCGCACGAGAGCGAACACGAGAACACGAGTCGCGGCCGCGGAAACAATATCGTCTGGCCCTGTGTGCTACTCTGAACACGGTCGAACACGAGAAGTATCCAAACGGCTCGAATTTCTGAGTGTTTTGTTTTGCTTAGGGCGCGGTACATATCGGACTTTTCAGGGGGTGCCGTGTCTCGGTTGGGACGATTAAAGGATTTGGGTTGACTGTCTCACAAATTTCTACAGGTTATAGCAACAAGGTCCATCCACTGATTTCATCATATCGGTTTGTGAGAAAGGCATGGGTTGTATGATGTAGCGCTTTGTTGTCAAAATTCAAGTACTGAGCCCGGCTGTCTTTGTAACGAGCATAAATGTTCCAAAATCTGGCAGTTTGAATGTTCGAAATTTGAAGCGCCATTCCCGCACTGCCACACCCCACTCCCCCCCCACCTCATCACTTATCATTACAACCTCAAAGCTTCTACTTGAAGCCATTATCACTACCTCAAGCTGCTGATAGCGATGTTGGCATCCCATCCATTCCCCCCATTACGCGTTCTAAACTAACAATAGTTATCCGCTGTTGCGCTTGCTGCTTCTCTGATCTCTATTTATTGGTCGTTCCTCCGCGCGGCGGTACACCAGTAGCATTTCCGGGTCGCGTTTCCGAGTCACACATTTCAAAGTCGTATTTCAGTGCCGCCTTTCTGGCTCTGCGCGACTCTGAAAGGGCAAGGTGAAATGGCAGCAGCAAATACGGGGGCGGTAAAACAGAAACGAGAGGCTTTACAAATGCAGAGAGAAGGTCAGCAAACGCCTTATCCTGTTACCCCGGAGCAGCAGCAACGTCTGACGATAGATGGCGAGCGGTTCGATTCCTTGCGGAAATATAGGCGGCGAGAGGCAGCGGGGAAATGCGGAGAGTCGCGGAAAGGCGGAGAGGTGCAGAAAGGGGGAGAGGCGCAGATGCTGGTGGAGGAGGGCGCGACGGCGGAGAACGGGGAAGGCGCGGAGGCGGGAGGTGGAGAAACGAGAGGTGAGGGCGGAGGCGGAATGCATGCGCGGACGCGACAGGCCGACGAGGCGATGCTCGTGAGCGCCATGATGGGCGGAGGAACGGGGAGCGGCATGAAGGGCGGAGGGGCGGGGAGCGCGGAGGAAATGTCTCTGGAGCAGCTGATGGGTGTGAGCCGATGGTGCGTGCTGCGCGCCGTGGAGGTCGAGGTGACGGCTAGAGTGGCGGAGAGGCTTGGAGAGATGGAGGAGAGAAAGAGAGAGGAAGAGAGGGAGATTGAGGAGGAAAGGGAGAGAGTGAGAGAGGACGAGAGGAGGAGGGTGAGAGAGGAAGATAGGAAGATAGAGGGTGAAAGATATAAGGTGCGAGAAGAAGAGTGGAAGAGAGTGAGAGAAGAAGAGAGGAAGCGGATGAGGGAGAAAGAGAGACAGAGTGTTCGATCGGAAGAAATGGAGAGGGTGAGAGAGGAAGAGAGGGAGAGGGTGAGAGAGGAAGAGAGGGCGAGGGTAAGAAAGGAAGAGAGGGAAAGGATGAGAGAGGAAGAGATGGAGAGGTTGAGAGATGAAGAGAGGAAGAGGGTGCAAGAGGAAGCGAGAAAGAGAGAGAGGGGGGAAAAGAGTAAGAGAGTAAGAGTCGAGAAGAGAATGAGAATGAGAGAAGAAGAGAGTATAAGAGCTAGAGAGGAAGAGGCGAATAAGAGGAGAGAGGTGGTGAGAAAAGCGAGGGAGGCTTTAGCGAAGGCGAGGAGGCGTAAAAAGGAGCTAAAGGCAGCGTTGACGGAGGCAGCGAGGGCGGTGGCCGAGATGAAGGAGGGCGTTGAGGCGAACGTGCGGGAGGTGCTGCTGCGGGCGGCGCTGATTCGCTGCTTCATGGAGGAGGAGACGCCGTTTCAAGCTGCTGCTGGAGTCAGTGCAGGTTGCAAGCGAGCTCGCATGGCGGAGCGCTCTGATGAGGCTCACCGCATGAGGCAGGTGCGTGGCGTCGGGCATGCTACCAGTAGTCCGTCCCATGCCCCTCATCCCATGCCCCTCATCTCATGCACCCCATCCCCCTCAGCCCAAGCACCCCATCCCCCTCATCGCATGAGCAATCATTCCTGGCACATCGACATGTTTCTTGCCATGACACATAAATACAATTCCGCCTTATAACCAATAGTGAGGTGCTCTATAAGCAGGTCCGATATGTGGCGTGCATTTCCATGTGCTTTGCAAAACATGGTCTCTGTGTCCTGTCCCCGTGCCACACCCTCTGTCCACCGCTTCCCCACTGCTGCCTCCTCGCTCACTTCCTTCCTTCATACCCACCCTTTTCCTCCCACCGTCCCTCTGTCCTCCCACCATAAACTCAACCGTAACCTTCCGCTGCCCACCACCCCATGCCAACCATTTCATGCCACCCATTCCATTCCCCCGTCCCACTCCCCCATCCCATTCGCACTTCTCATTCCCCATTCCATTCCCATGTCCCGTTCCCCCTCCCCTTCGCCCATCCCATTCCCCATCCCATTCCCCCAACTCATTCCCACATCCCATTCCCCCATCCCATTCCTTATCCCATTCCCCCATCCCATTCCCCCATCCCATTCCTCATCCCATTCCCCCGTCCCATTCCCCCGTCCCATTCCCCCTCCCATTCGCCCATTTCATTCCCCAAACTTATGCCCTTCTCATTCCCCCATCTCATTCCCCCATCTCATTTCCCTGTTCCGTTCCGCCTCCCGTTCCCCCTCCCGTTCCCCCATCCCATTCCCCATCCCATTTCCCCATCCCATTCCCCATCCCATTCCCCATCCCATTCCCCATCTCATTTCCCCATCCCATTCCCCATCTCATTTCCCCATTCCATTCCCCATCCCATTCCCCATCCCAATCCCCATCTCATTTCCCCATCCCATTCCCCATTCCGTTCCCCATCTCTTTTCCCCATCCCATTCCCCATCCCATTCCCCATCCCATTCCCCATCCCATTCCCCCTTCCATTCCCCATCCCATTCCCCATCTCATTTCCCCATCCCATTCCCCATCCCATTCCCCATCTCATTCCCCATCCCATTCCCCATCCCATTCCCCATCCCATTCCCCATCTCATTCCCCATCCCATTCCCCATCTCATTCCCCATCCCACCCCCCATCTCATTCCCCATCCCATTCCCCATCCCATTCCCCATCCCATTCCCCCTTCCATTCCCCATCCCATTCCCCATCTCATTTCCCCATCCCATTCCCCCTTCCATTCCCCATCTCATTTCCCCATCCCATTCCCCCTTCCATTCCCCATCTCATTTCCCCATCCCATTCCCCATCCCATTCCCCATCTCATTCCCCCTTCCATTCCCCATCTCATTTCCCCATCCCATTCCCCATCCCATTCCCCATCCCATTCCCCATCCCATTCCCCCTTCCATTCCCCATCTCATTTCCCCATCCCATTCCCCATCCCATTCCCCATCCCATTCCCCCTTCCATTCCCCATCTCATTTCCCCATCCCATTCCCCATCCCATTCCCCATCCCATTCCCCATCCCATTCCACATCCCATTCCCCATCCCATTCCCCATCCCATTCCCCATCTCATTTCCCCATCCCATTCCCCCTTCCATTCCCCACCTCATTTCCCCATCCCATTCCCCCTTCCATTCCCCATCTCATTTCCCCATCCCATTCCCCCTTCCATTCCCCACCTCATTTCCCCATCCCATTCCCCCTTCCATTCCCCATCTCATTTCCCCATCCCATTCCCCCTTCCATTCCCCATCTCATTTCCCCATCCCATTCCCCATCCCATTCCCCATCTCATTTCCCCATCCCATTCCCCATCCCATTCCCCATCTCATTTCCCCATCCCATTCCCCATCCCATTCCCCATCTCATTTCCCCATCCCATTCCCCCTTCCATTCCCCACCTCATTTCCCCATCCCATTCCCCCTTCCATTCCCCATCTCATTTCCCCATCCCATTCCCCCTTCCATTCCCCACCTCATTTCCCCATCCCATTCCCTTTCTCATTTCCCCATCCCATTCCCCATCTCATTTCCCCATCCCATTCCCCATCCCATTCCCCATCCCATTCCCCCTTCCATTCCCCATCTCATCTCCCCATCCCATTCCCCATCCCATTCCACATCCCATTCCCCATCCCATTCCCCATCCCATTCCCCATCCCATTCCCCATCTCATTTCCCATCCCATTCCCCATCCCATTCCCCATCCCATTCCCCATCCCATTCCCCATCCCATTCCCCATCTCATTTCCCATCCCATTCCCCATCCCATTCCCCATCCCATTCCCCAACCCATTCCCCATCCCATTCCCCATCCCAGTCCCCATCCCATTCCCCCTTCCATTCCCCATCTCATTTCCCCATCCCATTCCCCATCCCATTCCCCATCCCATTCCCCATCCCATTCCCCCTTCCATTCCCCATCTCATTTCCCCATCCCATTCCCCATCTCATTCCCCATCCCATTCCCCATCCCATTCCCCATCCCATTCACCCATCTCTTTTCCCCATCTCATTCCCCATCCCATTCCCCATCCCATTCCCCATCCCATTCCCCATCCCATTCCCCATCCCATTCCCTATCCCATTCCTCATCCCATTCCCCATGCCATTCCCCATCCCATTCCCCATCCCATTCCCCATCCCATTCCCCATCCCATTCGCCATCCCATTCCCCATCCCATTCCCCATCCCATTCCCCATCCCATTCCCCATCCCATTCCCCATCTCATTCCCCATCCCATTCCCCATCCCATTCCCCATCTCATTCCCCATCCCATTCCCCATCTCATTCCCCATCCCATTCCCCATCCCATTCCCCATCTCATTCCCCATCCCATTCCCCATCCCATTCCCCATCCCATTCCCCATCTTATTCCCCATCCCATTCCCCATCTCATTCCCCATCCCACCCCCCATCTCATTCCCCATCCCATTCCCCATCCCATTCCCCATCCCATTCCCCATCCCATTCCCCATCCCATTCGCCATCCCATTCCCCATCCCATTCCCCATCCCATTCCCCATCCCATTCCCCATCTCATTCCCCATCCCATTCCCCATCCCATTCCCCATCCCATTCCCCATCCCATTCCCCATCCCATTCCCCATCTCATTCCCCATCCCATTCTCCATCCCATTCCCCATCCCATTCCCCATCTCATTCCCCATCCCATTCCCCATCCCATTCCCCATCCCATTCCCCATCCCATTCCCCATCCCATTCCCCATCCCATTCCCCATCCCATTCCCCATCCCATTCCCCATCCCATTCCCCATCCCATTCCCCATCCCATTCCCCATCTCATTCCCCATCTCATACACTTGCCCTGCCTTCCACACGTGCCTACCATACATCACCTGCCAGCCATCTCGCCCACGGAGGCAGGCAGCCCCTCTCATCTCTTCTCATCGCTCCTCCATCGCCACCGTTTGTCTGTACTTACGCCTCCTCCCTTCCCCCCGGTGTGTTTTCCCTGGCAGCATCTGGACACCCTTTCAGCCTATGCAGAGGCTGCGAGAGGGAAGGCCCGCGAGGTGAGGAGGAAAGTGCGTGGTTTGTGGAAATAACACGTGTTGGGAGGTGTCCCGATGCGGGTTGAAGTGGAGAGGGAGGAGGAAGAGGGGAGAGAGAAGGAGGAGGAGGAGGAGGAGGAGGAGGAGGAGGAGGAGGAGGAGGAGGAGGAGGAGGGGCAGGAAGAGGAGGAGGAGGAGGAGGAAGGGGAGGAGGAGGATGGGGAGGAGGAACCTGGCAAGGGGAAGATGGGGAATGCAGTGGAGGAGGAAGTGGGTGACAACTATGACTTGGTGCAGGTGAGTAGTGCTGAAGTTATCTACCCTGTCATGCTGTGGTTGGGAGTGGGAGAATACAGCGACTGAGGGAGAACAGCGACTGAGGGAGAACAGCGACTAAGGGAGAACAGCGACTGAGGGAGAACAGCGACTAAGGGAGAACAGCGACTGAGGGAGAACAGCGACTAAGGGAGAACAGCGACTGAGGGAGAACAGTGACTGAGGGAGAACAGCGACTGAGGGAGAACAGCGACTGAGGGAGAACAGCGACTGAGGGAGAACAGCGACTGAGGGAGAACATCGACTGAGGGAGAGCAGCGACTGAGGGAGAACATCGACTGAGGGGAGAGCAGCGACTGAGGGAGAACATGGACTGAGGGAATATTGGTGGATTTTGAGATAGTATTTGGGGCCTCCTCTGGGTCACCTTTACAATAATGTCCCTTCACTGTGCTCTACTCTCACTTAATTCCTCCTCCTGCCCGTTCCTCCTTCCACGGCCTCTTACCACGTCTTCTCTTCCTCTTAATGCTTCCACTCCCGTTCACCATCACATGGGTAACTCACATATGCTTCTCCCTTTCTCCCCTTGACCCTCCCCCACCCCTTCTCTTTCTCCCTCTCAGGCCCACGCCCAGGCACGCGTCATGGCAGCCACACAGCGGGAGAAAGAGCAGCGGGGGCGAGCACATTTGGAGATAGAAAACATCATGCGCGCTGTGCCTGCAGAGCAACTAGAGAGTGTCAAAGCGAGGATGGATCAGGTCACCAGCTTCTTGAAAACCCAAGACCCTACAGCACAGGACCTCACCATTTCAAGTCTCAACCCCCACTTTAGAGGCGACCCTAACCACAGCCTTTTCTTTTTCCTCACCCTCGCTCCCTGCTACTGCCCCAGCCTCTATGCCTCACTCTCCTCCCTCACCCTCCACCGCCTCTCGCCCATTCCCTCTCACTCCCTCTCCTCCCTTTGCCTTCTACCCTCCCTCATCTCACTCTCATTTCTCGAAACCTCCATCAACCGACAATGCGAGTTTCACTTCTCGTCCTTGTCTCAGCTCCACCGGCTCGTTCTGGACTGCCCGGACCCCAGCGAGGTAGATTTCGACCTGGATCCTGAAGATTTCTACTATGGCGAGCCGTTGGAGAAGCTGAGGGAGCTGCACATCAGCCGCGTGACAGACTGCCTGTTGCTGGAGTTTGCCACGTTGACAGGCCTTGAGGCCATCTCCTTCACGTGCAGTGAGGAAGTGACCCAATGGGGTTTGAGGAGCCTGAATCGCCTCACCAGGCTGGCGAGGCTGCAGGTGGCGCCAGAAAACCTGGCCAGCTGCAGTTTCGCAACGACTCCCTGCCAATGATCTCCAGGGTTTGCAAGAAACCCACTCCAGACAACAAGCGTGCGCGTGTCAGTAGCATGCAATTGGGCAAACCCGAGTACCCGTGCGTGGATGGCAGTGTGTGGCAGGTGGTGGGTGCGCTGCACGGCTTGGAACAGCTTGGCGTGCATGGAGTGGCACGCAGCGAGCAGGACCTGCAAGCCCTCACTGCCCTCACAGGCCTCACCTCTCTCCACATCACCGGCACCAACTTTAAGGATATTGGATGCATCAGGAGCTTTTCTCAGTTGAGGGACCTGGGGCTGGCTGGGTGCAGTGTATATGTGGATTCACATGTGGGGCATTGGAGCCGCAGCATGCCATATCTACAATCTCTGGACCTCTCAGCCACGCGGGTCAGCTACGATGGCGCATCTGAGCTTTATTTATTTCGCCGTTTGGAGCGCTTGAAGGTGCAGCAGTGCTGCAACCTGCGCGCCCCGTTCCTGCGGCATGTGTTCTTCATGCACCAGCTGAAGGAGCTGGATGTGGGCTTTAACTATGTGCAGCCAAGGTGGTTGAAGCCGATACTAGATGAGAAGCGGGTGGCTCGGCTGTGTGTGCGCGGATGTGGGTGGAGCAGTAAACAGTTTCACTGGGCTCAACGGCCGTGGCTTCAACTGGAGAGATGATCCTGGTGGATGCATGGCATGTGTGTTTTGGTCATGCGTCGAGATGGGAATAACGCAGTTGAGGATCGTTTATGGTGAAATGAGGATCGTTTATGGTGAAATGAGGATCGTTTATGGTGAAATGAGGATCGTTTATGGTGAAATGAGCGCAGCCGAGTGCATGGCATGGTGTGTGCAATAAGCATGCACTTGTCATCTTGTACAAAATCATGCTGCATGGATGGCTCACGGCATGTGGTGGATGGCACGTGGTGCATGGCACGTGGACCGTGGTGCAAGGCATGTGGTGCATGGCATGTGGTGCATGGCATGTGGTGCATGCATATGGTGCATGGCATGTTGATCCATCTGAGTGCCTTACAACCTGCACCAGGGACATTCCGACCATTTATTAGTTACATGCATCAAGGCCTCGTCCCCCATGACATGAGTGCGAAGTGTTGGAAGTGCTCATTCACATGACACTTCATCCTTCGATTTATATATTTTTGCAGTGCCATTTCCATCATGTTTCATCATGAATACGGAGCTGCTTGTGATCAGTAGTTTACACCACTACTAGAACAAATCAAGTCCTAATGTACACACAAGCACTTCCATCTAGGCAGGAACCTCAGAAGGACCCTAGGCTGTAAGGGTGCTTACCTTTAGCAGCCGCTGGTAGCAGCAAACACCCCATTCTTTACAAGAGCTGTAACAGTGCTTGCACAACCAGCGCCATCTTCTTGCCATCTTAAAGAAATGCACACGTTCAAGTCTATCACATTCGTCGTTTTGCATATGCAGCCCAAGTAACTATCCGCTATAATAATGTAGGCAATCGAATAATTTTATTTAACAATTGAGCTGATTAGGAAATGGACCCTTGGGCTTGCAAGATGTGTTAACAAACCTGCTCATAGCATGGTCGTTGGTGCTTGGATGGCAGTGTGTGTGTGGCCACTCTTACAGTCCCTCGACCTATCAGCCACGGGAGTCAGCTACAGGGGCGCATCTCAACTTTATTTACTTGAGCATTTGGAGTGCGTGAAGCTGCAGCAGTGCTGCAACCTGCATGTGGCGCTCCTGTGGCATGTGAGCCGCGTGCCGCAGCTGAAGGAGCTGGACGTGGGCTTTAACAATGTGCAGCCGGGATGGCTGAGGCCGATACGGGATGGGAAGCAGGTGGCCTGGCTGTGTGTGCACGGCTGTGGGTGGAGCGCTAAGCAGGTTCACGGGTTGAACGGTCGTGGATGGAAGTAGAGAGATGATGCTGCTGGGATGCGTGGAATGTGCCATGATTCATGGCATGTGATGGGATGCATAGCATGTGCCTGGATGCATGGCATGTGCTGGGATGCATAGCATGTGCGTTTTAGAGATGAATGGTGATGTGTGTTTAGAGGACCTATTGGGGTGAGATGACTGCAGTGGAGCGCATGCCATGGTGTGTGCAATATGCATGCATTGGCAACATGTGCACAGATGATGCTGCATGGATGGCTCATGGCATGCGCTGCATGGCATGCGCTGCATGGCATGTGGTACATGGCCTGTGGAGCATGGCATGTGGTGCATGACACATGGTGCGTGGCATGGCATGTGGTGCATGGCACGTGGTGCATGGCATGTGGTGCATGGCATGTGGTCCATCTGAGTGCCTTTCAACCTGCACCAGCTGATATTCCGACCAGTTGTTAGTTACATCCATCTGGGCCCTCGTCCCCCCTAATGATTGGAAGTGCTCATTCAAGTGAAACTTCATCCTCATATTTATGTATTTTTGCAGTGCTATTTCTATCGCGCTTCATTATGAATTAAGAGCTGCTTGTGATCAGTAGTTTGTCATAGGTCCACTGGTGATCCCTGATTGATCCTAGGGAAGGGTTACAGGCTCGATGTAGGGCCAAAGGCCCAAGTTATACAAGAGACAAGTAAGGAGGAGGTGCACCACAAGCAGAACAACAAATATATGCTACACTACAACTAGAACTACATGCAGTTATACAGAAATATATTCTGACATAGTTCTTATCACTAGAACAAACAAGAACATGTGTTTCAACGCAAAGGACATGACAAATTAAGTCCTAATGTACACTTAGGTATATCCATCTATGCAGGAACCTAAGGAGGACCCTAGGCTGTAAAGGTGCTTACCTTTAGTAGCCGCTGGTAGCAGTAAACACCCTATTCTTTACAAGAGCTGTAAAAGTGCTCGCACAATGTTATGAGTTGTAAAATAGAGTTGCGCGGAAAACGAATAACGAAGCTGTGACTCAATGAACTGACGATACAATGAAAGGCACGCGATTACGTAGCGGGTCAACCAAGCTAGGCAGGAACATCGAGGATATGAGGTTGGGTGCAGGTTGGGCAAAGGAAAGCCAAAGGCGACGCGAGGTTGCTTCGGCAGCAAGCAAACCGGCCGAACGTGCACTTCCAAAAGTTGGGGTTGTACGCGGTTGAGGAAACCCCACTAAGGAAAAGGGTTTTTCCTTACAAAGAAAGTTGGTCAACGTCCGTGACACGCTTCCGGGCGAGGTAATCGTGAAGCAACGAAGGTGCTTCAAGCGAGGCAGATGGCACCCAAGTGTCATCCTCACTGGTGCGGCCGGTCCAACGAATCGAGAAGTCCACGTGGCGCACTGAGGCGTCAAGGCGAACGCGATGACCCAAAAATTTTGACGGATCAAGCGTTGGTTCAGGTACAGGCCGTGCCGTCGAGGTGGCGTTTTGCCGGGCGATATCCGTCGTGGCAGCAACGAAAGGCCGAAGGAGGCTGAAGTGGAAGGCATCGTGCACGCGCCAATCATCGAGCAGTATGAGTTTCTCCGTAACCGGGGTAATCATCTTCAGAATGCGGAAAGGTCCGCAATATCGCGGGCGTAGTTTCGACGAGATGGGCGGTCGAAGATTCTTCGTGTCGAGTAGGACTAGTTGCCCAGCAACCATCATGATTTCCCGGCATAGGAGATTGGAGTACTTGCGGGCTATTGCATTTGCTTTGCGAATGGCTTCGACAACTTTCTCGCGAGAAGAATGGAGTTCCGTCACAAAGTGTTGCGAACGTGGTACCGGGTTCTCAACTGTTGTCGCCGTGGGTACCACTGGATCCATCCCGTAATTCAAGAAAAAACAGGGGTTGTGCTGGACGGGGCATTGTTGTATGCAAATTCCAGTATGGGGAGTGAAAGTTCCCATCGAGCGGGGTCGGGGTAGTTCGTGCGAATGAGCTGCTCCATCGTCTGATTGGTCTGCTCAGTTTGCGGGTGGTAGGCCGACGAGAACTGTAGCCTTGTGCCGTACTACGCCTACGTCTCCTTCCAAAACTTCGATGTGAACTTCGGGTCCCTGTCGCTGACGATCGCTGATGGGATACCGTGGAGTCGAACAATGGTCGAGTGAACAGGCACGCGGTCTCATCGGCAGTGATTGTTGTGTGACATGGTGCAAAGTGCGCCATTTTCATGAGGCGATTGACGACGACGAATACTGCATCGTTGCCGGACGCGCCAGCTGGCAGACCTGTGACAAAATCCATTGTCACCTGTTGCCATGGTCGCTCGGGTGGCACGAGGGGTTTTAGCAGGCCAGTGTCAGAATAGTGAAGGAATGAATGAAACAGAGAAGAGAGGTTTCACTAGCAAACATTGGGATACATATAGCAAACCCTAACAGGGCTGTACTCACTATAGAGTACCCCACTGCAGACTAGAGAAATATAACATTCTGACACACCCCCATAGTCAAAGTGGGGTATAATCAGCACAACAAGCAGCAGTTTATAGTTCACAAATACAAGCAAAGCTAGAAGCTATCACAGAGGGCAAGTGTGGAGGAGGAGGGACTATGAGAGGAGAGGAGGTAATGGGCGGCAGCTGAAGCTGCTGGCACACGGCGCAACTGGAGCAACTGGCACACGGGCAACTGGAGCAACTGGCACACGGGCAACTGGAGCAACTGGCACACTGGCAACTGGAGCAACTGGCACACGGGCAACTGGAGTAACTGGCTCCGCGGCTAGACGAGCGGCAGGAGCAACTGACTCTTGGGCGACTGGAGCAACGGGCTCACGGGCAACTGGAGCGACGGGCTCACGGGCGACTGGCGCAACGGTCTCACGGGCGACTGGAGCTGCTGGCTTCACGGTGGCCACCCCCCTTCAACCTCCCCCTTTTTCCCAAAACTCCTGTTCACACCCCCTGCTACACCCCTAGCTTCACTCCCACGACACCCCCTAGCGCGACTTCCTCGGCTCCCACACACCCACCCCCTTCAGCGGCAGCTGCAGCAGTGGGAGAGAGAGGAGGAGGAGGAGCAAGGGACGACGCACACCCGCCACCCCCATACCCTCCCCCACGGCTGCACACGGAGCAAAGAGACGACGCGGAAGGAGGGGGGGGGGGGGGGGGGGGGGCGGGGATGAAGTCGCCCTGCAGCAGCACGAGGGCACGGGGCAGCGCGCTGCACCACAGGGCAGCGCGCGCGGGTCCACGGGGCAGGGCGCGTGGGTCCCCTGGGGCGACGCGCTGGTCGACGGGGGCAGCGCGCGGGTCGACGGGGCCAGAGCGCGGGTCGACGGGGCCACGCGCGTGGGTCCTCTGGGGCCACGCGCTGGACGACGGGGGGGTGCTCGCGGCTCCCCGGGGGCGACGCGACGGGCAGGGCAGGGCGTCGCGCGGCTAGCAGGGCGGCGCGACGGGCAGGGCAGAGCAGTACGCGACCAGCAGGGCCCCGCGACAAGCAAAAAACCGCCGCGCAATCGGGGCGCGCGGCGGGAAGAAAAAAAACGCCGCGCGCCCCGAGCGCGCGGCAGGCAGAAAACGTCGCGCGACAGGCAGTACAATAACAGAAGCATCGGGTGGGCCCATCCACAGGATCGACCAGAGAGGGTCGACGTGCTCTGATAGCATGTCAGAATAGTGAAGGAATGAATGAAACAGAGAAGAGAGGTTTCACTAGCAAACATTGGGATACATATAGCAAACCCTAACAGGGATGTACTCACTACAGAGTAC